GCTTAAGTGGAGAGGAAATGTTTTGAGAATGATGAGGGCAATGAATGTACAAATGTGCTTTACACAATTGATGTACGTATGGATTGTGATAAGAGTTGTATGAGCCCCTAATAAAATGATTTTTAAAAAAAAAGAGGCTGGTCAGATGTTTGCTCAGCCTGACCCAGGAAGGCAGCCTTGGTCAACAAGCTCCAGGAGGGGGAGGCGGTGGAGAGGCTGGAGTTAACAAGTTGAACAAGGCCCACCTGTGCCTGTGACCCTGGCTCCCCTGCTTACTCCCCCGGATAGAAACCCCTTCTCTCATCTGGCTGAGATATTGCAGAGCCCTGCCTGGATGCTAGGCTATGTTCTGGTTCGAGAATCTACTGTCCGGGAAGGCTCGTCGTTCAAAGTCAATAGTGTTAAGATTGGAGCTTCCGTACGGGGTGTCCGTGATGCCCGATCATATCACAATGATATTTGACAAGGGAAAACCCCCAGCAGTGATACCTTCTCTTTTGGCGAGGAGCCCTGGTGGCCTAGTGGTTATTTTGGGGGCTGCTAACCTCAAGGTCAGCAGTTCGAAACTACCAGCCAATGCTTGGGAGAAAAGACAGGGCTTTTGACTCCAGGCAAGGGTTAATTACAGTCTTGAAAACCCACAGGGGCAGTTCTCCCGTCCTCTTAGTGTAAGGTGAGCAGATTTTTACATTGGTAAAGGGGGACACCATTGATACAACTCATATCCTGGTGAAATAGCCACATGGCAGCGGAAAACCGTATACCCTAGCTTGTTGTGAATTCTTTCCAAAAATCGGGACTTTTTTTAAACGCTGCGGGATACGGGAAAAATTGTTAAAAATCAGGACTGTTCCGCCAAAAGCGGGCCGTCTGGTCACCTTATCTTAGTTTACTCTGAGTCTGCGTGGACGGGTGGATGGCAGCGAGTTTCTCTTCGGGCACTCGGTGCACAGCCCAAAGGCACTCTCATAGCATGGGACTTCAGCTCCTTAAATTCCCGTTTGCTGCTCAGTCAGGGTGTCTGCTGGCATATCCTGGGCAGCCCTTGAGAATGGTTTCCCTGCACTCAAGTTTGAGACCCTCTGGGCTCTGGATCACAGCACAAGGCTGGGGTGGGGGGTTGTCAAAGACCTGCATGATGAGTCAGACAAAGAATGTCTGAGTTCTGGCCTTGCCAATGTTAAACTGTGTAAATCATGTGGGCGGGCTAGTTAATCTCTGAGACCCCTCATTTGCAAAGGGGGTGGGTGACAGTATGTCCTTTATACACAAAACCCCCACACCAAACCCACTGCTATCAGGTGTATTCCTATATGGGATTTCTGAGCCGGTAACTCTTTATGGGAGTAGACAGCCTCATCTTTCTCCCTGAGAGAGGTTGGTAGGTTTGAACCATCAACCATGAGGTTATCAGCCCAACACTGACCAGACCAGGCCACTGGAGGTCGTTTTTATTTTATGGTGTCGTTGGTAATGGGTTGTGCTATGAACCACAAGGTCATCAGTTTGACCCTACCAGCCACTCCTCCAGCAAAAGATGTGGCTTTCTGCTCCCGTACGGATTAACCGTCTCTGACACAGACAGGGGCAGTCCTACCCTGTCCCAGAGGGTCTCTATGAGCCAGCAGTGATGTGATGGCAGTAGGATCGGCTTTTCCCAATGTCAACAACTGGATGAGGTGAGCAGTCAAAAGTGCCCTGGAGAGTGTCGGATGCCTAGCAGGTGCCCGGAGCGTCTACTTGTGTGTGTCATGGTGCACGGTGCCCCAGGGCAAGCAGAAATCAGCAACAGGGTCAAGCAGAGCGCCACACCGGCTGCCTCCAGCAGCTACACAGATAGTATCATTTCCTTAGGCGGAAACACTGAGGCGAATGGGGCCTTTATTGTGGCCTGGCTCAGCTTTGCCATGACCTATCAGACTTCCCCACTGGTTGCCAGGGGGTGGAGGGGACAGGGTGGGAGAAGGGAGCTGACCTTCTGCATGCCTATCAGCATCCAAATCCTGCCACCCTGGGAAGGTCAGAGCCTACCCATTACCCGGATGCAAGAGCCAGCCACCTGTCCTCTATCCTGCACCAGAGGCTGCTGCTGTAACATTCTGTTTTGTTCTGCTCCGGACTGATTGGAATGCATGGGGCGGGGGAGGGGGTGGTGGTGTCACTTTGTATTTGAAGCATTCAACTTGATAACTTCGTAAGGGAAAGTACTTATTGTACTTACTGCTCCAAAGATAATGTTTGTGAGAATTCAGACAGCTCTTCCTCCCTTGGCCCAATATCTCAAAGACGGTCTCAGTAGGGGTCACCCTCCCTGGCCACCCAACTGGCAGAGGGGAGTACAGTTCTAAGAGGACCAGGTCACATTTGAAGATGACTCACGGGGCCAGAGAATGACACTTTGCCTTCTCTATCCAATGGAGTGAACGAAGAGCAAGCTACATTCCCGGCTTTGTGACACAGCCCAGGAGGCAAGTGTTCCCTTGAGAGGGAAGAAGCTCCCCCTCCAGGGCCTGTCTCTGAACTAGTCTCCACCAAAGGCCACCCTCCCTGGACGGCCTACCTGCCCCAGACCCTTCTGTGACAAGTGACCAGAGAACCAGCAGCCCGCTCTCACATGGGGAGGGTCTTTACAATTCCATGTTTACCATGTCCCTTGGCTGTAGGAGGAGGGTGCATGCTGAGGTGGTCCCCTCTGTCCCAGCGGGCTTATTTACAGCCAGTGCCCCAGAGTTTCTTCCAGGTGTGTGCCGTGGGAGGGAGGGAGGGTGAATCAGGCCCTGGCCGGAGGATGAGCTGTCAGCTGGAAGGCTGGACCCTGTGCTCACGCCCTGTCAAGGTGGTCTCCCCACCTGACACTTTTCTACCTGTCCTGCCAAAGCTGGCCTGAAAAACCGACCATGCTCCCTGGTTCTGGACCCTGACACCCGCCGAGGTCAGAGACCTGGGTCCCACTTCCTCCCCGCCCAGCCTGCCTCCCGTTCCAGCCCAGCCTGCCTTACTTGCACAAGAGGATATCAGTGTTGGAGAGGGCCTTGGGCACACACGTTTTTTTTCGTTCCTGCTGTGTGGTGACCATGAGTAGCCCCAGGAGCACGGCTGCTGTGGGCAGCTTCATTGTTGAGCTCATTGACACCTGAAACAGAAGAGGTCTTTAGAGCCGGTGGTCCCTCTGCAGGGGCTCCCTTCCCATTCCCTCACCCGGGAGCCCGTCCAGAGGTGGGGGGGGGGGGGGGGGGGGGGGGGCGGGCAGAGACCTGTGCTAAGTAGAGGGAGAAAGGTAGGCAACTGCTTGCAAGACAGCAGCCTCTCTGCCACTCGAACACGGATACCTGGGGCGGAGTTGGGCCCTCTCCAAACCGGACTCGTTTGCAGTCCTGCCGGGGGGGCACCTCCCCTGTCAGGGCAGGGCTTTGCTGTCACTCTTAGGCTGACTGCCAGGAGAGAAATCCTTACATAAGTCTCACAGCACACAGCTCCTTACTCAGCGCCCAGCATTTACCCAGGGTGGGGCTGAGGGTCAGCTTGCGTCTTTGACTTAAAAACAAAAACCATACTGCCGTGGGGAGCTGGTCCTCAGGCATGGGACCAGGGGGCAGGCTCTGGAGGTGCTAAGGAGCGCCCTGCCTCCTTTGTTCTCCTAAGAGCAGGGGGTTCCTGGGCTCCTCTGCCCCTCCAGCCCTCAACTCCTCCACTTCTCGCAGTCTCTGGGAAGCGCACCCCGTTGCCCTCTGCCGGTGTCTGTACCGGATGGATGTTGCGGTCCTCAGGAAGAAGAGCTGTCTCTTCTGGGATCTAGCAGCCCCAGTCCCAAGGCCAGCTCTCAAGGGCCAGCTGAGGACAGACGGGTGCCTCCGACTGACTGCACCTTGCAGCAGGGCTGACCTCAGCACTCTCCCAAAATAATAGGCTCAGGAGGAGAAGGCCAAGCCAAGCTGCTCGGGAAGGGGGAGGCCTGGGGGAAGCATCCCTGGGCTGAGGACACCCTGAGCAGCCTCAGCTGGGACCGCTGAGCCTGCAGCCCCTCGGGGAAGGCTGCTACAGCGGGAGCGAGGGTGTGGGACTTGGGTTAGACTCAGGACAGATGGGGAAGGGTAAAAGCAATGTTCCTAGTGCTTTCCCAATTGATCTGCTCTTTGTAGCAGGTGAAGGGGTGGAATACCACCAACTGTGACTTAGGGCTCTTGGGTTTGGCGCTCTGCTCTGCTCGGGGCAAAAGGATGCACTCTTCTCCCTTTTGGAAAGCAAGCACCATGGCCCCACCACCCCGTGCCTTGTGAAGGAAGAGGGCATAACCACAGTATAAAAGCAGTCCCGCCCCAGAGAAGCTGTGTCCAGCAGAGCCAGCCTTCCTGTGAATTTCTGCTTCCAGGATCCCAACTGAGAGCCGCCAAGCCCTGCTTTGAGGGCTGCAAATTAAACACATCTCCCCATACCTACCCCTAAGGTCTCTCTAATGGGGGAGGGTTAAAACCATAAATAGCCTCCTCGCAAGATCGTGATGAGAATGGAATGACATGAATTAAAGACGGCACTTAGCAGGGTACCTGGCGCATAGTAAATGCTCGATGCATATGGCTAGTGTTAAGGATTTATCTATAGAGCCAGTGTGCAATCCATTTTACCCATGGGTGCTGAGTGTCTCTCACATGTAGGATGAGCGTGGCCCCTGTCCTCCTGGCATCAGAGCAAGAGGCTGCCAGAATGGTGACTCAGGGCCAGAAGACCCTGGCCCTATCAATGTGGCTTATCTGGCTTGTCTGGCTTGTCTCTGTGGCACCCACTAGAAGCCACAATGCCCTGCTTGCCAATAGCACTTAGCCAGGCTGTGAAGGGTTAAGTGGCGCTCCTGCTCTGAGGCTGCCCCTGCCAGGACCACACACATCCGCTCTTCCTCCTGATTTAGAATGTCCCAGACACTTTCATCACCGAACTCTCATCACAACCTACTGAAGTAGGGGCTGGTGTTATCCCGTGCCACAGAGGGTGAGAGGGAGGTGCAGAAAGGTTAGCCAGCTTGACCTCGGTCCCACAGGTAGGGTGTGGCAGACCTGGGATCTGAATTCAAGTCACCTGTTTCCAGAGCCAATGCTCCTGGCCATTCCACTCTATTGGCTCCTCTTGCTGCCCGGTTGTCTCCTCTCTTACCTCCCCTGTCCCACAATGCCCTGCAGGATCCAGCTCTTCCTACCTCTCTACCAGTCTCTCTTCCTCTCCCATGTTAACTTCACTAATTAGTTCTGGGCCCAGTGAGCCAAGCTCTCTCCTGCCCCAGAGCCCCCTGTCCTGCTCCGTCTTCCCACCCTCTTTGGTAAGTAGCTGAAAGTGCCAGTTCTTCAGAGAAACTCACCACAACGCCCCCGGCCCTACTAGCATCCTCTTATCTACTAAGGGGCTTCAGAAAGTTTATGGGAAAGCGGAGTAGAAAGATAAAGGGCTTTTCCATGAGTTCTGAAGTCCTCTTATAACAGCAGACCACGCTATTCTTTTCTGTATTGCTTGTGATGGGTTGACTTGGCGCCTTTACGAGCTTAGTGATGGCTCCCCTGCGAGGTGGCCAAGCTCTTGGAGGCAGGTGTTGAGTCAGACTCCAGCATGCCAGGCTCCAGGCCTGCGCTGCTCCATGGATTCTTATTTGTCTGCACGGCGAGCTTGCCACTTCTGTTTCTGCAGCTCCACAGTGCCAGTTAACAACTCATAACTCCCTGTAAACATCCATGGGAACATAACCGCTCAGCCTGGCCCCTAGCCCTGGGTCTCTTGTGCTTATTTATCTAACCTTGTCGGGGAGCCAGCCCCTAACAAATCATGACAGGCCTAGCAGGTGCAATTGTACAGCGATAATACGTAAAGATTGCAGTACAGCCATAGAGAATGAGACAGAAAGAAGAGAGAGTGAAATAAGGGAGTCAGACACATTTCATGGTAGCATGCTCACCTCAGCCCTGCTTGTGGTCCACGTGTGGAAGTGGAAGGTGGGAATCTCAGGAGAGAGGGAACAGGGGAGGAGGATAGGGGAAAGGGGACAGTGGAGAGAATGACCAGAGGAGAGGGAACTGGGGGAGAGAAGAGAGGGAGGGAGAGATTTATTTCTAATCAAGGCTTATATATCTTTTGGGGGCATGCAAGCCCCCTAATCACAGGTTAAAACATAACATCACAGGAAGGGGTGGTACAAGGTAATACAGTAATGGGAGGGGGGTGATCTAGGGGTATACACGCAATAGGAAGAGGGGATTGGGGGCACACATGTGACAAGGTGGGCGGATCCTAGATTCAGGATGGCAGCCTAACTTTGGATGTCACTGAGCAGGTTTGCCCACTTCTCTGGCTCTCCATGGAAACATTAAGATCCTTATCAGTAGGGTGTGAGCCCCACCTACAGTGGACCAGACAGTAAGGAGTGTGATGGCTGATGCCTTCAGGGAGAATAACTAAGCATCTGACCTCCCGCCATGTGCTGGCAAACAGCCCCTAAGGTTTGGCATCTCTCTGGGGAGACAACGCTGGGGAAGAGCCTTTATACCCCACATGACCTTCTCTGGTTTGTTGTGCAGAGAGATCACTGCTGCATGCATGGAACCAAGTCTGGGAGCCATGTCCAGACTCAGGGAGGGACAACTCCCCTGCCCCACCCCCAGCTTCTTTGCTCAGTTGCCTATGTCCCGGAAACTCTCATCTCTAGGATCTTTGTGGTGCCCTCTCTTGCGGATCCTTTCTCCTTCTTGAGTCCCCTGAACTGGAACTACCTTCACCCACCATCAACCAGGATAAATACAGTGGCATTGGGTGAACTCACTAAGTTATGCCACCATCACCACAGCTCCAGAGATTTTCATCACACACACACACACACACACACACACACACACACACACACACACCAAAATGTCCCATAGCCATTAGCACTAGCTCCCCCTTCTCACCTCCTTTTCAATCCCTGCAACCACAAATCTACTTTCTCTGGATATTTTCCCAGACTGGAAAATGTATATAAAAGAAAGTGTCCAACCCATGACATTTGTGCCTAGCTTCTGTCGTTTAGCATAATGTTATCAAAGTCCATCCATGTTGTAGCGTGTGCCAACATTTCATTCTTCTTTATGGCTGAATAACAGTCTACTGTTTTTATTGAGAGATAGCGAAACTGCTGGTGAAAATATTGAAAGTACCATGGACTGCCAAAAGAACACACGAATCTGCCTTGGAAGAAGTACAGGCAGAATGCCCTTTAGAGCAGTGGTTCTCAACCTTCCTAATACTGCGACCCTTTAGTACAGTTCCTCATGTTGTGGTGACCCTGTATGTGGGCGTATCTGCATGTGGGCAGACCCGCCTGGAGACAGATAGAGGAGCGGTGTCTCAGTTCCTAAGACCATCAGAAATATGGTCTTAGGTGACCCTTGTGAAAGGGGCATTTGATCCCCAAAGGGGGGGTGGGTGTCGAGACCCACAGGTTAGAACTGCTGCTTTAGAGGCAAGGATGGTGAGACTTGGTCTCACGAGCTTGGGGCAGGTTGTCAGGAGAGATCAGTCCCTGGAGAGGGACATTGTGCTTGGTAAAGCAGAGAGGCAGTGAAACAGAGGAAGGCCTTGAATGAGATGGATTGACACAGTGGCTGCCCCAATGGGCTCAAACATGACAATTGTGAGGCTGGCGCAGGGCGGGCAGTGTTTCATTCTGTTATAGGGCCACTGTAAGTCAGAACTGACTTGCTGGCACCAAACAACAACATATGTATAGAACACATTGTTGACAGTTTTATTAGCCTATATATAATTCACATACTGTATAACTCAATGAGTTAAATACATTAAAAAGCATTGTACAATTCTCACTACAACCTGAGAACAATTTGTCAGTATGGTGCTGTCTGGACCTAATCTGGTTTCTAAAATGTTGGGTGTTTGGGTTTGGATTTGTTTGTTCGTATTAGAGTGTGTCTCAGTGGGTTGTGTCACTGGAGTCCCTCCTCTTACAGCTGTGTTGTGTGCTTTTCTGTTTTGCAGTCAATGAAGCCCAGGACTGGTGAACCTATAGGGACAATAAGGGGCTCAGGGGGGGGTGTACAGTGGGGGTGGGGTGGGGTAAAAGAGGTCCATGTAAAAAAAGAATGTTTGAAAACTGATTGTGGTAGCAATTGTACATCTACTTGATGTGATGAAAATATGGAATGACACGTACATTAAATCCAAACTAACCAAAAAAATGAGTTGTACATTTATCACTACACTCAACTTTAGAACATTTTCTTCATTCTTGTACCTGTTATTATTAGCTCCCCGTTACCACTCTCGCAATCTCCCCAACTACAGCCTTAAGGAACCATGAACCTAGTTACCATCTCCATGTATTATCCATCC